AACAACAACAACAACTCAAATGAAGGAGGTTTGGGAAATATTAGAATAGTGGGGAAGCAGAAGACTTGAATGTAAATGCTGATTTACTCATTAGCTATCTAACATATTTATTCTCTTTGAGATTATTTTTTTATCTTCCAAATGGGAATAATACTTCTTATTATATGTGGTCATTATTTTGAGGCTTAATTGAAAGAATTAGATATACGTGCTTACGTCTATATGAAATGCAGTGTCACTTGTCTGCACTTGTGTGTAACAGTCACTGGGGAATGTGAAGTGCAGGGAAGGCTCAACACGGGAAAACAATGATTTCCAGGATTTCTATCACATAATTCAAAACTAAACCCGCTGGTGTCGAATCTAACATAGTAACCCCAGAGGACAGAGAACTACTCTAGAAAGTTCCCAAGGCTGCAATCTTTATGGAAATGAACTAACTGCCACACTTTCCTCCTTTCAAGGAAAGAGTAGGTTCAAACCATTAACCTTCCAGCCAGCAGTCAAGTGCGTAAATAGAGCTCCTTTACTTCCATGATAGTGAGAATAAAATAGAAACAAGTCACATCGCTCTTCTTGCCTCTGTTTTCTCATGGGCAAAATAAGAACATTAACCATATTTCCGTCATGGGATTCCAGGGAACATTGTTATTAGGAGCCATTGAGCCAAGTAGGACCCAGCCACCCTAAGAACAGTAGGTCTGAATCGTGCACTATCCTATGCCATCCTCTCAGTCTGTCATGCTCAAGTTCATTATTGTAGTCACTGTATCAGTGCATCTCATTGAGAGGCTTCATCTCGTCTAATACCTTTCTAGGACAATTAGACAAATTCATACATGGATTCCACTGAAATGTAGCCTGGCACATAATAGCATTAGGTAAATGTTAGCTCCTATGGCCCTAACTCTACACTCCTCCGGATTCTCTGGAGCTCTAAGTGGATAAGCTTTTTTGGAAGTGTGAAGTGCTGGACAGATGCCCAAAACACTCATGGACATAATTATTAGCAGAGGTGACGTGTATTCCCTTGGAACCCAGACAAAGCCGATTTCCCCCTAATATAAAACTGTTCCCAATTGCCTTCTATGCTTCACTAATAATACTCACTCTGGCTAGAATACACCCAGAATGAAGGTGCACACACATATAGATACAAATGCTAACTTTTACATGGGTTCTTTAAATGTCATAATTCTGTGGAGATGAATACTATTGACACATTCCATTTTATAGATGAGCAGACCTGGGCTTAAATGTTAGGTGATGTGCTCAAGACTCCAGAGCTATTGAGAGCTAGAGTCAGATTTTGAACACAAGCTCACGTCCAAGGATTCAGGTTGGGGAACGCACTGATTTTGATGTTTGTGATGAACATCTTCATTTTTTGTTGAAGATTCTTTTGTTTTCCACTTAGGAGATTTTATCTTCTACCCTTTTATATTCCAAATTAACTGTTAAGTATTAGTAAGTTTTTCATAGGGTGATACTTTGAGGCTATGTAAACATTCTGCTTTTATCCCATTTTAATCTATCAACAATCTGCTTTATGCAGACGACACAACCCTGCTTGCTGAAAGTGAGGAGAACTTGAAGCGCTTGCTGCAGAGGGTCAAGGACTGCAGCCTCCAATATGGATTGAGGCTCAATGTCAAGTAGACAAAGATTCTCACCACTGGACCAACTGGCAGCAACAGTATGGATAGTGAAGAGATTGAGATTGCTCAGAGGTTTAGTTTGCTTGGCTCCACAGTCAACACTCT